TAAATGCCATTGTAAATACCATTTTTACCTTTACTTCTATGGCAATGGTGCCTATTGTTGGGTTATGCAAAAAATGGTTCCAGCCTCACGAGTGGGTTAGATTTGGAAGGCTGAGAGCACTGGCACCTGAAGCAACCAAGGGCAAGTGGCTGAGCTGTAACATTTCCCTTTATGTGCCACATGAAAAATGTAGATCTTAGGGAAGAGCAAACTGTGCATGCACCTCTTCCAAAATTAATTATAGGAACTCCCACTGTAAAATCAAAAGTCAGGCAGAACAGAGTGCAGGGCAGAGCCAAATCACGGAAGAATTACTAAGTGGAGCAAGGGAAATCCCCTCAACCCTTGTTACTATTGGATTTCAAATAGGCCGTTCTAAAGAAATGACAGTAAACAAAATCTGTTTGCCTAAGGAAACTCTCCTAGCAATCAGCTAGTAACACAACTCCGTGTGCTAATGAACCCAAAGCTGTTAATATGGTTTCTTCAGTTAAATTGATTCATGAATTTTGAAGAGAACATTATCTAATGAATTTTCTTTGAATAGAAAGCAATTAAAAGGACAAATCAGTCTGATTAACCCCAAAGTCACCCTAGTGCCACAAATGGTGTACAGTTTGAAATTATATCATAAAAAACTAGAGCAGATTTGCTATCTCTTTGCCCTCTACTAATCCATGTAAATTAATGAACAACAAAGTTAATTTCTTTGATGACCCTTTTCTAGTATCACCTGGATTATGCTGATGTTTAATTTGCTTAATGTTATAATAAAGGCTAAACAGATTTTTTTTCAATGAAGCGATTATCATTCTGTTCAGTTAAGAAGTAGGTTTTTTATTATTTAAAACAAACATAAAAGTATGTGGGTTTCTTTCAAGAACAGAGGGTGAGCACTTTTCTAGACTGCATATAATGAGAGCACTTTTTTAAAAATTACCTGAACAGGAAAATCTAGAAGTAAATTGGTTGACAAGGAAATAATGAATGGTTTGTACTGCCAGCACCCAAGGAGGGATCCAGTTTGGCCCAGCCTCCCCAATGTGGCTGCTCTGTGGTGCTCTCTGTATGTGCTAATGCCTTTGTGCTTGGGAGGAAAGGAGAGATGGAAAGCTCAGGACTTCAGTGACAACAGCCTGTGGCTCAGTTCATCTTTTCCTAACTGTGGTGAGATTTGAGAGTTCTCAGTTCATCTTTTCCTAACTGTGGTGATGAGATTTGAGAGCTTTGTATTTGCAGCTGCTCATTGGTTCAGTTCATGCATCACATGTAGACAATTGAACAAACAGTAGTTAAGAATATTCTTCAGATATGGGCTGCTATACTTCTAGCTGTGGTTAGTTAGGGTATGTGACATCAGGATCTGAAGTTGGTTTACTAACCACAGTTACTCTGTAGTTTTGCATGATGTACAAATGCGTAATCTTGGCTTAATCCTCGTTTGCTGCTTCTCACGCTCCCCAAGCTACAGAAATGCCTGACATGAGGCTCTTGGGGGGGGGGGGGTTTAAAAGTTAGATGGCCATCGGACAGCAATGCTGATTCTGTGAACTTAGGCTCTTTCTGCACTCTCCTTTTAATCCATGTTTACTGTGGTGTCCTCCAAGCAATTCTGCACTAAAATCGAATTCAACCTTCTTTTTATTCGAGTTTTTCCCCCAATTCTGCATTACGTTACCTCCCTTCAGTGGTCAGCTTGGTTTCAGCCTGCTGTCGCCCTGGGTTATTTGGATGCTGTTTTGCTGTGGACTTAAATTGCCTCGACTCAAACACTGAGAAAATCTGGAGTGGCAGGCAAATGCAGAAAGGACCTTAGGCAGATCATGAGATGGAGGGCAGGAAGAGTTGCATCAGTGCTTAGTTCTTGTGGCCCTTTCTTACATGACCAGGGAAATGCCAATCACCTCTTTGGGGTCAGGAAGCAATTTTTCTCCAGGCCAGTTTGCCTGGGGATCCTGGAGATCATCTTCTGGGCATGGAACAGGGATCACTGGAGTTGTGGGTAGAGGTATTTGTGAATTTCCTGCATTGTGCAGAGGGTTGGACTAGATCACCTTGGAGATCCCTTCCAACTCTTATGATTCTATGAGCAGTTCAAAATCGACAGCGCTCCCACTTTTCACTACTTCTCAACAGCAGCCCATATGCATCTTTTTCCCCCCTCAGGAAAAGTTCAGATCTCTGCTATGTGCCACCTTTACATGCTGTAGTCTTTGACCCGGTGGCACAGGTGCATTTATAGGACTTCCTTCGTGATCTGTGCCATCGCCATCCTTGGGCCTTGGTGACAAGTTGCTCCCTGGGCCTGCTTTGCAGTTGCAAAGATGCAAACTAGGCTCCAGAGGCAGAATATGGAATAAGGTTGCCAGTGGTGGGATGAATGGAGAGGAAGGGGACTGTTAGACACTTGAGTATTTGAATTAGTTTGTCCAAATTTGCCAGGTTTCCATGTATTCATCACAGTGTGAATTGTTACGCTCTTATGTTTTTTGTGGGAGGATTGGGTTAATCTGGAAAACGAAGTGGCTAAGGGGTGTGAACCAGTGTCTGCTTTCTGAGAGAGGTCAGCTTTCTCATCCCTTCCCTACAGTGTCACCAAGCAGCCAGTGATAAATGAGTTGGGGCCATGGAGAATCAGGGGGAGGTGATAATTTCTCAGGGAGTTCTGGTTGTCTCAACATTAAATATTGCATTACTTTTAATTGCTGTCATGGTTTAATTCAGGATGGAGTCCACCAGTTCCTCTGGCTGCAAAGTGTAGGGGACTCTGGTGGTAATACATGGCAAAGTTTTGCCCTTCAGATGTCATATAATGCAGGCTAGGATAGCAGCAAGGTCTTTTTAAGGACGATGGGTTAAGGATAAAACTGCTGCAGCAAGCATTTGTCCGGACAAACAGACTGAATGATTACCCAAGAGCCAAATCCCTGATTCACAAAGTAATCACAGTTAAAATAAGCCATGATCTTTATGTTACATAACCCAAGCCATATCATAAATTAACGGTTTGGTTCAGACATAACTCAAACTGTGGTTGTTTCTAAACTCTGCTTAGTTTGTGAAACTGACTACTTAAGTCCTGGTTTTTCTCACTAAATGCTGGTTTAATTGCCTTTGTTATATAGACAGGAAGGGTGGTGCTGGGAAACAAGCCATGACATCTGAGTTTATTTATCATGTAAAACTTTTTGTTTATTTAAAAAAATTAAAATTTTATTTTAAAAAACCCTAACTGGTTAATAAACCAACTTCAAACCATGGGTTCAGATCCTAATCTGGTAGTATACTGCCTCATGTTCAGACAGTTGTACTAATTGTACTCAGTTTACTTTCCAGGGTTGCCAGCTCTAGGTTAGGAAATACCTGGAGATTGGAGGGGGAGCCTACGGAGGGTGGTGTTTGGGAACTGTAGGGACTTCAGTGGGGTATAATGCCATAAAGTCTACCTTCTAAAGCGGCCATTTGCACCAAGTGAACTGATCTCTGTCGCCTAGAGATCTGTTGTAATCCCAGGAGATCTCCAGACACCACCTGGAGGTTGGCAACCCCATTACTTACACTTGGGTTTATGCTATGGCTGAACTGAGTGTCTGTGTATTCCTGGTGTCTTCCCACCCACACTGGGGACACTAAGTGGTGAATTCCAGTTCCCCCTTGTATTAGTACTTCTGGCCCCCTTGAGTGCTGATTCTATGAAAAAGCCCCCCACAAGAGGCAATGCAGAAGTCTTGTAGGGGTGAGCCCATAGAAAAACAGTTACGAAGGAAGTCCTGCAGTATTTAAAGGAGGCCTCCATTTCTCTGCCATATTATAATGAGTATCTATTCCTGGAAACATCTTGCTGTCAGGCAGCAGATTAAAAAAAGATATGGGATGTGTTTGTTTCTCTTCTGCTTGGGGGTACTTAGCACGGGTGTTGCCAGAGCTCAAAGGGTCATGGGCTCTTAGCCTGTGGCTTGTACCCTGTGTCTTTGTGTGATCCAGCCCAGTGGATATGTGATCATTCCTGGAAATGGTTTAGTGTATTCTTTGTTGCTGTTATTTTTCTGATTTTTTAAGTTAAATTTTGTTAATTTAAGCTGTTTGCTTATTTAAACTGAATTTTGGTAATTTTTGTTAACTGCTTTGGGTCCCCTTTGGAAAGAAAAGCAGGATAAAAATGCCTAGATAAATACATTCCAGACTGGGAAACAAAACAAAGCAGTTTCCTACAGCTGTGCTTTTAGGACATTGGTGGGGCTGTGTCTGGTTACCTGCAGGAAATTTTGAATCACCATAGGTGAATGTTTGATTACCAGCCTGCAGCAATATGAGAAGGTTCTTTTATGTTTCTTCTATGCTTTATCAACAATGCTATGGAAATAAAGAGTAACTAGACAGCAAATTGATAACTTATTTTACAAGAATTTTCCATTTAAATATGCAGCTTATATTTAGGATGGCCAAACATTACATTTTCTTACACCTAGAATTCTGAGCAGTAGCTTGGGGGCCTCAGCTAAGATCGTCATCAGCTAGGTAATACGTTCTGCTGGATCTAGGGCTTCTTTTCCAGTGTGCCCCAATTGAAGTTTGAAATCAAGAGCTATGAGAGTTTTATAAAATAGGTGCTGCCAGTTATCACACAAGGAGGCACTTTTTATAATTTGACTGTATGCTAATTTATACTCTGTCAATTTAATGGAAAAGCACATTGTATGCATTAACGGTATAATTGTACTGGAAGCAAATTAAAAAATATAGAAAAATCAAAGCTCTGAATGCCTTTTTAATAGTGATCAATTACTTGAAGCACACTCTCTAATAATCATGAATTTAAATATAGAACACAATAATAGAACGGATTGCTCTGCTAATTTGAAAGGGGAAACGTTGCCGTTCATACCCTAGTTTAAATGTCACTCTTCCTGACTATTTTTATCTTGGTAGGTTTTGAAATGGTTGAAGTCATGCTTTTGAACCGTATGTTGCTTCTTCATTCCCCCCCCCCCCCTGTTCAGCTTCATTCACCAGAGAAGTGTTGTGGACCCTGTTGAGAGATGTGAAATTTGGAGAAGCAGTTTCTTACAAGCAATTAGCAGACCTGGCAGGCAACAGCAAAGCAGCCAGAGCAGTGGGAGGAGCAATGAGAAGCAATCCTGTAAGTTCATGTCCACTTTAAAAATAAAGTTGATGGAAGACAGTGGTTTTCGATAGAAAGCTTTGTGGGCTTAAATGTCATTAGATTAAATATATCTGCAGTGAAAACTACTCTGCTGTGAGTAATAAGGTCAGTAAGTGTTTTTAATCAGCATTAATGCATAAACCAGTTTAATATGATTTATTTGCCCACCATTTATTTGAAATAGGAGCACTACATTTATTTTAATGCATCAAATTATACAAATTTAGTTCATTTTCCGTTCATTCTTTCTTCAAAAGAGAAAGCTTATGTTTTATGGATAGCGCCTTGTTCCATGTAGTGACGAGTTCACCTCTTAGGCTCAATTAGTGTTAGAGGAGTTTGGAGGCTGCACTTTTTGTCCTCCATTCCCTGAAGGCAGTTCTGGTTATGCACATGGTATGAAAGGGCAAAAATTCCACCTACCTTCAGAACAAAACAAATTTGACTTGGATCCCCTCACGAGTCAGGTTGTGGATTCTGGTAGCCAAGCAAGTTCCAAACCTCCTCTGCAGGATTAATTGTTAAGTCATAGTCTTTTTTCCTGTGATATAGCTCCGTTTAAAACTATGAATCTCACCAATTTTGGCAATGTAGAGTCTGGCCTTTCAGTTTTGTAGAGGTGGGAGGGTGGTAATAATGAATTGTTTTTAGCCACTTTTACCCCACTAGTGATGCGTGACTGACCATTGCTTCGGATATGTTTTTTAAATTTCAGATCATTATCTTAGCATGAAAGTTGGCTGACATTTAGGATGGTGACCTATGTTGTAAGTGTGAAGCTATCTAGATGCTGGCACAAAGCTATAGAATGACCTTACTGATTTCATTATCAACGGTGAGGACACAAAAAAGGCATTCAGCCTTCCAACACTGCTACTGTTTGAAAAAAGCTCACTGGGCCAGTGGAGGCATGCACACTATACCATCTAGTAACTATGGCATCTGGTGCAAAAACTGCTGTCTTTTTGGAATCATGCATGCTACATTCAGAGCTACTGGGAAAGTGATGTTAGTGACGCATCAGTGTCTAGTTGTCGCATTCTGGGCGATCTCGTTTCAGAGCTGTTTTCATGGGCCCTGTGTACTATAGAGCCAGTGTGGTATTTATTTATTTATTTGATTATTTATTCATTCATTCAATTTATAGACTGCCTTCCCCCACAATTGAAGTGTTGGACTAGGATTCAAATCCCCACTCTGCCATGGAAGCTTGTTGTTGTTGTTCAGTCGCACAGTCGAATCCGACTCTTCGCGACCCCATGGACCAGATCCCGCCAGGCCCTCTTGTCTTCCGCTGTCCTCTGAAGTTTGCTCAATTTCATGTTCGTTGCATCTATGACACTGTCTAACACTGTCTGTCTAACCATCCTTTGCTGTCCCCGTCTTCTTTGACCTTCAGTCTTTCCCAGCATCAGGGTCTTCTCCAGTGAGTGCTCCCTTCTCATTTGGTGGCCAAAGTATTTGAGCTTCAGTTTCATTATCTGGCCTTCCAGGGAACAGTCAGGGTTGAATTCTTTTAGAATTGACTGATTTGTTCTTCTTGCAGTCCAAGGGACTCTCAAGAGTCTTCTCCAGCACTATAGTTCAAAAGAATCTATTCTTCGGCGCTCGGCCTTCCTTATAGTCCAACTCTCGCAGCTATACCATTGCTTTGACCATGCGGACTTTTGTTGGCAGGGTGATGTCTCTACTTTTTATCATGCTGTTTAGGTTCACCATCGCTTTCCTCCCAAGGAGCAGGCGTCTTTTAATTTCATGGCTGCTGTCACAGTCTGCGGGGATCTGGGATCCCAGGAACGTGAAGTCTGTCACTACTTCCACGACTTCCCCTTCTACTTGCCAAGGAGTGATGGGACCGGATGCCGTGATCTTAGTTTTTTTTATGTTGACCTTTTGGCTAGTCAAACACCCACAGCCTAACTTGTCTCATAAGGTTGCTGTGGAGATAAAACAGAGAAGGGGAGAGCATTGTAAGATTTTGAGCCCCCATCAGGGAGAACAGTGGGGTATGAATGAAGTAAATAAATAAAGTTAATAGTCAAATTGAGAAATGATGATGATGATGATGATGATGATGATGATGAAGAAGAAGAAGAAGAGGAGGAGGAGGAGTCTCAGAGTGGCTTACAATCCATTTCCCCTCCCCTCCCCTCCCTCCCTACAACAGACACCTTGTGAGGTAAGTGAGGCCAAGAGAGCTTTCCTGAGAACTGCCCTTGAGAGAACAGCTCTGAAAGAACTTGTGACTGACCCAAGGTCACACCAGCAGCTGCATGCGGAGAAATGGGGAATCAAACCTGGTTCTCCCAGATTAGAGTCCGCAATCCTAACCGCTACAACAAACTGGCTCTAAAGCATGCATGACAGTATCAAGGCGACAGTTCTCCAAGAAGAGCACAGCTTGCTCATCAGCCAGAGGTGATAGTAGTATTCAACAGACCTCCAAAGAAAGACAGCATGTTATTTGTTTGTTGAATAGTATCTAGTTGTGTTTAGAAAACGTTTCAACTAGTTTCTGCCAAATCTCTATACTTCTTGTTTCCATAGATGCCTCTCCATATATCTGACAAAGGGAGCTTCGACTATCAAAAGCTCATATCCTGAAAATCTTGGTAGTCTCTAAGGCACTCCTGGGCTGGAATCTAACTGTTCCACTGCAGAGGCCATCACAGCAACCCTCTGAAACTGCCCTAATACGACAGACCTCACTACAGTCAGAAAACATGATTTATTATAGAGCATGGATTCCAGAGATTCCAGAACTGCCATATGAACTGTAGATCAGAGTTTTTTTTTTTTAAAGATGTGGGTTTTTGTTCCTAATATTGCTAAGTTGCTTTTCCGAAACCATATCTGCTGAGCGTTGGGGTGTGTGTGTGTTTTTCTCTCTGCTGATCTTGCCCACTTAATTTCTGGAGTGTGCATTCTACAGGTTTCCTTTTGTAGTTAGGTTGGTTCACATAATTCATACACTGACCTTCAAGTTTATGAGAAGGTGGAAAAGGTGCCGGCAGCAGCTGAGAGATGCAACATCTTTGCTTTAAATTATGCCAAGGACATGGTAGAGATGGCTCACCTTTTTGTGAAGAAAAACTTCAAATAGTTTACTGCCGTTTAGATTGATTGTGAGGTCTGCAGTCCTCAAAGGGAACCCATAAAGTTCAATTAAAAATCTCATTAGAATAGTATAGGAAGATCAAAAAGAAATCATACCGACCCATGAGAATTGGTGAATGTTGGGCTGATTAGTCCAAGACCATCACAAATGACTTGTCTATGACTTAAATAAAGTGTCTGCTAGTAGCAGCAGCAGCAAGAACCGTATAGAGTCCCCCCCCCGTTATATATGTTATCATTCAAACTAAAACCTGACACAAACATCGATCTAGCATAAGTCAAGTGTGTTATTCAGTCAAAATGTTTAAAACATTCCAGAGTGAATGGAGCAATTGTGCATTTAAGAGAAGATTGTGAAGCATTGATTTAGAATGCAGTGTGCACATAAACCTAGTTGTGCATTAATTCCTTAGGTGGCTAGCGATAAACTGGAACACATGCTGGTTCATATTACAGTATTTGTTTCTATTGGGGAATAGGGAGAGAAAAAGCAATAGGACATGAGCAAACCGAAAGATTATTTTTTGCTAAGTGCGATTTCTGTTGTGTGTTATAACTTGATATTTCAGCTGTTTCCATTATGGCCTCACTGATCTATTTTTGACAGTTTGGCAGCTTTCTGTAACTATGCAGTCTATCAACCAGTATAATAGGATGGTCAGTTTTCCGCTGCATCAAATTGAAACCCCCTAACAAGCAGAGCATCACAGTTGTACAACATTCTGTTCCATCCTTAGACTGAAATTGCTAAATGCAGTTCAAAAGCAATCAATACATTGTGCAGGGAGGTTTTTTTTCCCCCTCACCCTTTTTCTAAACAAACACATTATTGAGGAGTTAGTTTATTCACAGATTGCCATGAGCGTTAATGACCACCCTGAGTCTTGTTCTGCCAGTCACCTAGCTGGCTGTTGATAAAGATTTAGCATCATGTTCTAAGTGTCAGGCCTGTCAGTAGTGCTGAACCATTTGACCAGAAGAAAAAACGCAGAGGGAGCTATTGATTACAGCTTCTCAGTGTCACTTGTTCACCAGGATTTAGGTATTGATGAGGCTGCGAGTGAAAACAAGCTCTTTCGGGCCCCTCCCCAGAAGAACAAAAGCAAAGTTGGAGAAAATATTCAGCTGGTACCAGAATCAGAGGGATTCCGTTATTGATTGAAAGGCTCCTTCATGTTATTTTTGTTGGAGACAAATCTATGGGTTTGAAAGTTTTATAGCATTTGAGAAAGAGGCACCGTATATGATGGATTCATGTATTGGATGAATTAGATTTCCCAGCATGAAAATTTCAATGGGGCTGTAGTAATATGAGCTGCTGAGTTATTGATAAAAATTGCATTAAATGCAACTGAAGCTCTAAAGCAGGAGTCTTTGGCCAAGGTTTTTTCCTCCAAAATGTCCTCAGGGCTCTAATAAACTTTAGTGCATTTAATTATTTTTAGTTGGCTAAATATTGTCACCACAATTAAACCAAAGTGAGGTCGTGATCAATATTTCTAAATTGCAACCATGATAATATTTGTAGTGTATTGCATTTAAGAAAAATACTACTGCCTAGAAGGTTGTGTTCATAGGTTTGATAGCTAATATTAAACAAACCAAAATTTATCAAGCTAGTGTTTTTATGACAGATGTGACAGCAGTAATGTATATCATTCTGCTACAAGCAGAAACTTATTTTACACCTCTACAGTGCCATCTTCAGCAGGTCCAATCAGGTGTTTATTTCCAGGAAAATGTTCTGAGGATTGTGCTGTTAATCTATGACTTTCTTACTTAGCTCTTTCATCTCTCTAACTTTCCTACTTTTCTAAATCAGAGATGCCTGGTGCCAGAAACCCTATTCGAGTTTGCAC